CCACATTCTGGCTACTTTCTGTCAGACTGCTTTGTAGGCTCCTTTTCCTTTCCTCAACCCTTCTAAATATTGAGTATTCTGCAGTACCCACTGCCCTGTCTACATTCTGTACCTAAGTGATCATATTCAGTCCCATGGCTTTAAATATAATCTAGATGTAGGCAAGTCACAGATATATGTCTCTAGCCCTGACCTTTCTCTTGAGCTGTAGGCTCAGTGTCCAGCTTCCCACCATGTCTAAGAAACATCTCCAACTTAATATGACCATCACAGAACTCTTATTTTTCCTGCCAAAGCCTGATTTTCCCCATCTCAGTACAGGGTCATGAGATGTATCTAGCTGCTCAAGAAGAAAATCTGAGTCATCCTAGGTTCCCTCTGTTTTCTACCTTCTACACCCAATCCAAGACCTGTTGACCCGCACAGTTGGAAGACTGAATAAGATAATATATATAAAGTGCCTATTATAATGCGTAGCCCATAAAAAGAAATAGTCGCTATTATTTATTATTATATTTAATATATAATAATTATGTAAAATTTTAACTTCCATAGTACTTACAATTGGTTAGAGTTTTTGATGCTTTTTTTTAAAACATCTTTATTGGAGTATAATTGCTTTACAATGGTGTGTTAGTTTCTGTTTTATAACGAAGTGAATCAGCTATACATATACATATGTCCCCATATCTCTTCCCTCTTGCATCTCCCTCCCTCCCACCCTCCCTATCCCACCGCTCTAGGTGGTCACAAAGCACCGAGCTGATCTCCCTGCGCTATGCGGCTGCTTCCCACTAGCTATCTATTTTACATTTGGTAGTGTATATATGTCCATGCCACTCTCTCACTTTGTCCCAGCTTACCCTTCCCCCTCCCTGTATCCTCAGGTGATGCTTTTTTTAAGTTGCTGGAAAACCTGCTTTTGGATCATGGTAACACAGTCCCTACATGCCTATTACATGTAGGCACCTGCAGGATTTTTTGCCTTGCCTCTTTCTTAGAGATGCAGCAATCTCTTGAATTTTGTTTTTTTGTTTTTTTGTTTTTGCGGTACGCGGGCCTCTCACTGTTGTGGCCTCTCCCGCTGCGGAGCACAGGCTCTGGACACACAGGCTCAGCGGCCATGGCTCACGGGCCCAACCGCTCTGCGGCATGTGGGATCTTCCCGGACTGGGGCACGAACCCGTGTCCCCTGCATTGACAGGCGGACTCTCAACCACTGCGCCAACAGGGAAGCCCTTGAGTTTTTTTTTTTAAAACAAATCCATAGTGACTTAATGCAACAGAAAACTCATTTTAAACTTACAGGTGAAAGTACTCACTTTCTAGGGATCCCCTTTTTAATATTTCAGTGCCTAGGAAATGGTAACTCCTTGATGACTGTAGTTAGTTCCCTGTTTTTTTTGCCTCTTAATTAAGCCTCTCTCAACTCACCCAATCTGTTTTCTGTTCCTGTTATCCTATTGATTTTGCCATTCATAAGGCCAAGTTTAATGGCCTCTCTTTGGTTCTCATTATACTTATGAAGATTAAATGTGAAAATCTTTTACTTCACTATAAACGAAAAGCACATCTTAAACTGTAAAGTAAATGTTTGTTACTAATACTGACACTCTGCCTCATTAGACATTGCTAATTGGCTTGTGTGCCACTAATTTCTCCTGGTTCTTCCATCTCTCTTATCTTTCTTTCTTAATCTCTTTTGCTTATTCCTCCTTCTCCTCTGCTCATAACTTAAATATTGGTGCTTCCTCAAAATTGTGTTCTTAGCGCTCCTCTTCCCGCATCTTAAATGATGAGGTTTTCTTATCTTTTTTGTTTGTTGGTGGGTGGGACCCTATCCCTACATTAATTTTACAAGAACCAGCAAACGGTGTAACACAGACACCATAGGAAAAGACTACAATGTGAAGAAAAAAATTTTTTTCTTGAGGTTTATACAGGCCTTTAGCATTCTTAAATTCTAAAAGTAGAGAAGGTAATTTTTATGATCTGAATATTTGTGCATCTTTCTTACTGTCGTACGGTTAGAAATTTTTTACCTCCTATATATTAGGGATTTCCTGCCACCTGGTGTTCAGAAAGGACACTGTAATTGGTAGGAGCTCACAGTCCCAATAGTACTAAAAGCTAACACGCTAGATTACAAAAATTTTCTACCAAAACGAAAAAACATCCAATAGACTAAATATCCAAAGAAACTAAAATGACTCATGAGAACGTCTTTGTCTTCGCTTATGTCCTTTCTCCTGTTTGGGTATATACCGTCCCTCAATCTCTCCGCCCAAACCACTCCTATTTATCTCTTGTTCTTCTTTCAAAATGAAGTAATACATGTATACAGGTTAAAATGTCAAAGAGTTCTACAGACTTTATAATAAAAAACAATATTCCTATGCCATATTCCTTCACATTGTCAGTTCCTACTTCTCAGAAAGAGCAATTTTTAATTCTTTCAGCTGCTTTTTCTAACATGCCTCCACATTTCTAAATAACTGTTCTTTCTTGATTTTTTAATTCTAGGTATTCTCTTTTTATTCCTACAATAAAAGATGAAGATTTACCTCTCTAAGGGTCACACCATTATGTTCTTTCCCAAACAGGCTTTCTCATTCTTTTCAATGTGGATAGGCTGAGCATGTTCCACATCTTTAAGTTCTGCTTCCTTTTTGATTCACAGTTCTGTCTTTAAATAATTTCTTTCTTCTTGCATTTTACTATAAGCAGTCAAGAGAAACCAGGCTGCTCCTTCAACACTTTGCTTAGATATTTCCTCAGCTAATTTTATTACTCACAAGTTCTCCTTCCACAAAACACTAGGACATGAACACCATGTCTGGATTATAAGCCTGTCACAGTTTTCTCAGAACCAAATAGGGAA